ACACAGAGAGAGAGAGAGAGAGAGAGAGAGAGAGGGTGACGGAGGCCAGGGGACTTACCTGTCGACTTACCTGCAATGCCATAGCTCTGGCTTTGTCTTCAGCACGATGCACCTGCATCAAGGTGACACCTTTCTGCAGGTTAGTACCTGGCATACAGGCACAGAGAGAGAGAGAGGATTTCTTCTTCCTCTGTCTGTCCTCCATGGCTCCTCTTTCCCCCAACAGCTTCTTCTTCTTTGTGGGCTCCACAGCTTCTTCTTTGTGGGCTGATCCTCCCTGTCTCCTCCTCCCTTCGTCTCTTCTCCTCCATCTTCGTCCATGCTTGTATTTGGATTTAGCGCACCTTCTATGCTTGCTGCGCTGGGTCCACTCACACCATGTGATGATGGTTGCAGTCAGGTCCTGTCATTGTCCACGCTGCGTCAGATCTTGGTATTTTAGTCTTCCACGGCGCTATTTTTGTCTTGTCTCTGAGAGTTCGATTCTTGGTGCTGATCGATGCTGATTAGGCATGCAACATTTCCTGTCCGCATGCAGCAAGATGTTGTTAAATAGTGTGTTGAGACTCTGGACCCTTCCAGAACCTCATTGTCAGCAGCATGGTGTTCCGCCCTGAGCAGATGGTTTTTCTAAGTTAAATAGTGTGTTGAGACCCTGGACCCTGTTACAACCTCGTCGGTATGGTTCCAAGCTGTTCTTGCCTTTGAGGCCATGGGTCCTTCTTTGGAGTGTGCTGGCGGCATATGCTTCTCTTCCAAAGCTTTGAGCTAAGTTGAAACTTATAGACCTCTGCGTAATGCCCCGCCAAGTGGAGGTTAGTTTGTCTCCTAATGATGAATCTCTTTTTTCCTCTAGCATATTCATATCGAGGGAAGTGGCCCCTGTGGAGATGGTGATTATCTCCTTTCATCTAAGATGAAATGCTATTAGAATTACTGTGTCCAGCTTTTCGGCTCGCCCCTATTCAGATTTCACACATCCTTGACCCCCCCTCACTTGTGGAAGTCCAGTAGGGAATCCCAGAGTTCGGCAAGTAAGTCCATTAGGGAATCCTAGAGTTCGGGGAGTGAGTCAATTAGGGAATCCTAGAGTTCGGTGAGTCATTTTCCAGTCATTTTTGTGCTTGGCTGAGGTGTGTTCGGTTTCCTAAGCATGAATGGATGTAAATACTGTGAGTCGGTACCATGACAGTGGCTCGCCCGGACCATTGCTGCAATTGGTATAGGCATGTGAGTGTGTGGTTTCATGATTGACGGTCTCAGTTATATTGGTATTAACTTATTCCTTCGTATGTATTTATACTAAGGGTAGGCAGGAAGGCGAGCAGGTTTGGCCTTGGCGTATGCAAGTATAGTAGCAAGTATAGTGTAGCTGTGTGGGAGGGCCTTTTAGACTTGCCCCTACTTGTCGAGAAGGACGACATGAGGACTTGCCACTCTTTCAATTCTGTTCACGCATGCTCCCCTCGTTGGAGGCTTGAACTCGGGCTGGCTGCTACGACTTTCCTCGTAATGCTACAATGATATAGAAGGCTTGAAAGGCCTCTTGTCAGATTCAAGAGGTGATTGAATTGGTTGGGCTTAAAAGAATTAACCTTAAAAAGAAGGAAAAAAAAACTTTCCACAATGTGGGTAAATTTTTTATGTGCTAGAAGGATGTATAGAAGCGGTTACCGACCAAGTGACTCTCAGAGAAGTGGCAGCTCGTTTTTTAGGAGTATTTTTTTCTCCCTTGTACCACATGCACGAACTGAACAGCCTAGAGGAATATCCCAATGAGGGCGTACTCACACTACCACTTTTCTCAATGTATCTGACTGTAATTACGGCCGGACCTGGATGTTTCTGGCTGAGTTTCCGTCCAGAAATAGGTGAAAAGGTTCTAGTGTGAGTATGCCCTAAGAGACATTCACTCCAGGTAGTAAAATCAGTTCTCGGGCAGGGGAAATGTGCTCCGGCATTCTTACAATCTGGGCTCCGTGCAGCTGTCTGTTTTCGACATAAGATCACTTCCTCACATTTATTTTTCAATAGAGTTTGGCTGGTTGGACTGGTGAACAATGTCTATCAGCTGCATGCTCGTGTTCTTCATCTTGTTGAACCGACATCGTTTTTGCACAAACTGGCACTAACAGCCCCTTGAGTGATTGCTTGCTAAATTGTCTTTTTTGTGCTTTCTCCGTCTGTTGTGTGGGAAATCTCTGTATCAGGTTGTTGAGTACGCCTGTGTTTGTCTCACGCGTCTCGCAGAAGCTTTTGCATCGTCGCCAGACCGGCTGGATGTCCTCTGTTCTCATGGACTTATACCTCAAGCTGTCCGTTTAATCTCTGCTCCCGGCAGTTCGGGGGGTAGTGCCCCTACTGCAACCTTAAGCTCATCCACATACACGGTAGATGCCTCACACTTTCCTGAGAAGCTTTTTTTGACCCCTCCTTTCCCTCGCTTTCATGCAGTTACTTGTATCGTGTGTGTGTCTCCCTTTGTTTCTAGCTCTTCACCCTCCCACCATGGGACGTTTTGCTTTTCCTGTATGGAATGTTCTTTCTGTGTTGACAATGTTTTGTTTTCTTTTGGGATACGGAACCCACCGCAGGCACTTTGGAACCTCTCTTTTTTAATTTTTTTTTTCCCCCACAAAGCAGGCTATGGTGGTTCCCGGGCGGCCTGGCTGGGGGGAAGGTCGCCTGGGGGCGTCTTGAAGTCTGCTCTCTGATAGCCACCAGATTTTTGCAGAAAGCCTTTTTGTTCACGACCTGTGGTTGCAGTTTCCCTCTTTATCAATGACCCTCAATCGGCAATGCTCTTCAGTCACATGACAAAATCCTCAAGCTCATGAAGTACCACACGGCCTGGGAGGGGCAAGGCCGGGCAGGGTCCCGGGCAGTCCCAGCACATATAAGAAAAAATGAACTTGAGAAAGTGATATTTCAGTATTTGGTAGATGTATTTTGATATCTAATCTGAGTATGCATAATTGACTGTCTGGAACTAACGTCTGTCAGGCTTGCTAATGCATCCTGTAAGCTATGAAGGCTGAGGGTTTGAGAATGTTGCCATATGAATTTGACAGTGTGGACATCTGCGGGGCGGCTTGTTAATGCATGTTACAAACGATAAATGTGGTTTGTTGTCGGAGGTTTGGTAATCACAAAATGAGTTGAAGAGATTCGGCGGAGCACGTTCAGGGATTCTGGTTATGTCTGAGGAGCTCGAGTACGCAAATATGAGTGAAACCATAACTCTAATGTGTCACTTTTCATGAATCCAGGACTTAGCTAATTGACTTGCTGTCTTTTATGGATGCAGGGCTTAGTACGGCTGCTGGCCACATGTGCTGCAGGCTCTGCAGCAGTAGCGGAAAGTCTGCTTCAGTCAGGAATCAGTGGGATCCTGCGGGAAATCCTGGCTGGAACTGGCATGGTTTCAAGCACACTTGTTCCGCCGTCCGCACTTAACCGCCCACCTGAGCAGGTACTTGGTGGCGCTTTCCACTCCTGTTTTTTGATGTTTTGATGCTCTTATTCTAGTGTATATTTTCTCTGTCCCAGCCATGTTTGTCTTGGACATGCAACAGCACCACACTGTAATCAGCTTACAGCATAGTTACGTGTGTGACTAGTGGTAATCTCCGAAGATAGGGAGGCATTACCCCCGTCCTATACCCGACTTTTCTAACCTGAGCGGGGGTGGGGGCTGTGGGGTTGCTGGGCAATGTCAGATATGCAAGTGTAGGATGGGCTCATTCAGTTGCGTGAATTGAGGGAGGGGGGTGTCACTAGGTGCTTCACAGGTGGAGGGGACTTCTTGGGAAGATTGGAGGGATGGGATTGTGAAGGGGTTTGCCAGATTATCTGCATTAAAGGGGAGGAGAGCAGCAGTTTGGGGGGGGGG